GGCCAGACCAAGCAAGAGGGCTTTATTTTGAAAATGGCGGTGTCAGACTGCTTCTCTTACAACTGTCTGCCAGTATTCCTTTACACTTTTATTATTAAGACCTAGAATGTTTGCAAAGATATCATGACACTTCAGCATTCTAGAGAACAAGTAAAGGAAATGGAAGGACTTTAACACAAGCAAGCAATGCAAGGGTTCCCAAACCTTTTTACTCCACAGACCATGTGGAAATTCTAATTCTAATACAATAAAATATGAATAAGTAATAATACATTTAAAAATCAATATATTTAATAGACACACACCAAATACCACCTAATAAAAACTTGTAAACCACATTTTGGAAGTCCCATAACAGCCACAGTGGTTGCTGGGACGAGTGGGGTTCATGGCATATATAATTGCCAATGTCAATAAGAAAATACTATATTTTTCTAGCAAAGCATTTGAATGTGTACTGTTAATTAAACATGTTAAGTGATTTAGTGAGTATGAAGTATCTGAACATATATTTAGCTTCTTGCCTGTCTCCAACTACAATAGGAAAGGCAAGAATACTTGTAGACCCAATTATATTTATGTAAATAAATTATAACAGACAATTTGGACCATCAAGGTTCAGATGGGTTTTTTTTTTAATTTTTAGAAGTGGTTCTCTTACTTAATATCTGAAGGTACAGAGAAGTTTTAAATAACTAAAAAGTCCCCAGAACTTTGGCAAAGGCAAGAAGAAATTGCTGGATGAGCTATGAAGCAAGCAATTGTTAACGGGGAGGTCATAGCTTGGTTCTCTAGGAACAGACTTCCAGTTGTAATCTTGATGTCACTGACAGTACATAATACAGGCAAAACTGACCAATGGTCTGAATTCAGAAAGACAGCTTCATATATTCAAATAGTGATAGCAGTTCCTATGAAAATAGATCAGCAGGAAAAGAAGGGGGGGAATGGCAAAATAGTTCTCTCCCCCCAGACTGTATCATGAGGAACAGCACTCCAGCAAGACAGAGCAGCTGGAGAGCTCAGAGCAGGTGAGGTGGGGGGGCAGGGGGCAGGGCACAAATATGAGAGAAATGTCAGGCCCTTGAGAACAGTGTGTTGGCATCCTTTCACGCAGCTTTCTTGTTGAGACACAGACTGCTCAGGTGAAATTAGAAAACATCCAAATTGAATATTGTACTTTGTAATCACTAAGTGGTCCGTTAACATCTATTCAAGTCTCTTCACACACCATAGACCTTTAATACTGTTTTTAATTCAAATCAAATTATCACAAGACTGAAACAGTCTCCTTCCTGTTCACTGATCTTTGTCAACTTTCAGCTAACTAAAAGTGTTTGTAACATGCAGAAACAAAAAACCAGAAGCCACATTTCCCCAAAGAGCATACTGAACAGCTTGCATTAAATCAACACTACGAGCCAAAAGATACAAGCTACTTTTGTGTTAAAAGTACCATTTAGCTTAGAAAACATGCTCTGTTCTATTCTAGTGCTAATAAATAGGACCAATTTAATTCTTTAGCAGGTGCACTACATTTGCCTAATCACCACTTGTCACATTTTAATATCATGTAAACAGAATCTAAAAATAAATGAGATTACAAATTTAAACAAACAAATAAATAAATAAATAATTTTTACTCCAGTTTAAACTAATAAGGTCCTAATTTGACTCCAAGGCTGTTTCCCCCAAAGCCATGCCCACTTGCCCCACCTGACCTAACACTTCCTTTTACCAGTTCTGGCTGGTATGTCAACCATGTCTATTCTGGGACAGTCTGGCCCCAGTGATTCATGTACTGGTAACCTCAAGACTAGATTACAATGTGCTCTATGTGGGGCTACCCTTGGGGTTGGTCTGGAGGCTCCAGTTGGTGCAAAATGCTGCTGTTGATGGGGACAGACTATCACCAGCACATAACTCCAGTGCTCAAAATCTTCCACTGGCAGCCCATACACAGTTGGGCCAGGTTCAAGGTTCTTGTGTTACTTTACAAGATCCTTAATGATTCAGGTCCAGGATATCTCAAGGATTGCCTAATCCTTTCTATCCCTGCTCAAACACTGAGATCTTCAGTGAGTCAATGTTAGTGGTACCCCATGGGCGGAATGCTCAACTTGCATCAACCATGAGCCTTGCATTCAGTATTGCAGGCCCAATTGTATGGAACTCCCTCCCTGTTGACAGGCCCCCTCAGTTAAACTTCTGGCACCAGCTTTGTGTTTCAGCAAGCATCTAAGTTTTAAATTATTTTTACCCTTTTCTGCTTAAAGATGATTGTAGTTTAAGTGTATGTAAACCATTTAAATAAAAAAAATAAAAGGTACTTTCAAGGTATGCAGGCTGTTTCTCTTGAGCAGGGGAGGGTACAAAACTTTGTTTAGCTTACACTCTTTGCCGAGCAGAAGGATGCAAGCACTAGGGCGGGTAAAGATGTCTTACCATTCATTTCAATTGCTTTGACTTACCTTGGAACTATCAGAAGGTTGTAAAAAGTTTGGTATCACCGTAGCATTACCCAGGGTCTAGGGCAGAGGTGAGCAACCTGTAGTCCCTAACACAGGCATAGGCAAACTCGGCCCTCCAGATGTTTTGGGACTACAACTCCCATCATCCCTAGCTAACAGGACCAGTGGTGAGGGAGAAAGGTTGTTTTCTGCTGCTCCAGAGAAGCGGACACGGAGCAATGGATCCAAACTACAAGAAAGAAGATTCCACCTAAACATTAGGAAGAACTTCCTGACAGTAAGAGCTGTTCGACAGTGGAATTTGCTGCCAAGGAGTGTGGTGGAGTCTCCTTCTTTGGAGGTCTTTAAGCAGAGGCTTAACAACCATATGTCAGGAGTGCTCTGATGGTGTTTCCTGCTTGGCAGGGGGTTGGACTCGATGGCCCTTGTGGTCTCTTCCAACTCTATGATTCTATGATGGGAATTGTAGTCTCAAAACATCTGGAGGGCCGAGTTTGCGGTGCCTGCCCTAACACCTGGTTGCCCCATTGTTCCATCTCATCAGAATTCCTTCCTTCCCTCTTGTTTATGTCCTCCTGATTTTCCTTAGCTTTTAAATGTGTTTTCCCCTACAGTGGTACCTCGGGTTACAAACTTAATTCGTTCCGGAGGTCCGTTCTTAACCCAAAACCGTTCTTAACCTGAGGCACGCTTTCACTAATGGGGCCTCCCACTGCAGCCGCCATGTGATTTCTGTTCTCATCCTGGGGCAAAGTTCGCAACCCGAGGTAACTACTTCTGGGTTACCAGAGTTTGTAGCCTGAAAAATTTGTAACCCGAGGTACCACAAGTTAAATATTTCTATTTAACTTCAGAACAATTGGAAAAGTTATTATTTTATCTGATAAAAAATTATCAATCAGAATTTTTTTTGTATGACACCCCCTTACCCACAGTCTGAGAATAATTTAGTAGGCTTCTGCCATATATAGCCCATTAAAATCAGAAAAGGGATCTTACTTTGAAGTTGCTTATATATACACATGCACACTTTACTTCCCACCTCCCAAAAAATGAGTCTCATAAAAGCAGCTGACAAAATATCAAACAAACATCAAAATTTACAATACTCCATCACTAAATATACAGTTACCAGACTAAGCAGCATCATGGAACAAGAACGGAAAGGGGCCATACCTAACAATCAATAAATTGAATTTAGCAACAGTGGAATCAAAAGCTTGTTTTCTTAGAAGGGTCTTCAATCCTGGAACACAAATAAAGAGGAAGATAACCTAAACTCTTGAGGCAGGGACTTCTACAGATATGGCACAACCATGGAGAATCCTTTGATGCATTGCTACCAATCATGTCTCGGAAGGCAGCAAAACACACTAGAGGAGACAGCAGCTATCTTAAAAGGTGGACAAATTCATGCAAGAGGAAACAGTCTGTTAAGGAGCTTGGTCTGAAGCTGTTCAGAGCTTTAAAAGGTAATAACCCGCACCCTGAATTGCATTAGGAAATGGGCTGACAGCCAACATAATAAAGGGATTGTGTAATCCCTGCATTTTGCCTTAGTAAAGATTTTAGCAGTAACTGAACCCTAAATAGTTTGAGGGGTTTAAGTAAGTTATAATGGAGGGGGGGTCTCTGTATGCTTGAGAGTAACCCTATCAAACCCAATGGGCTTCCTTTTGAGTAGCCATGTTGAAAATTGAAATCGGACAGTCTCCATTCCTAATCAGAAAACTTTTGTCTTTGGTTCCACCTATCCTGGATCTGATTCCACCTACGGCCAGCATGCAACCCTCTTGGCCTAAAACTAATTAGTCACTTCTCACCACTGTGCTGTGCACTTCCCCCAGTTGTTAGCTAACCATGCATGGTTTCTGATCTGCAAATAATTGCTCAAGGACTTGGAAAATCAAGCACTGTGCAGGAATCTCAATTATGGATTGGTTTGTCAAAAGTAAATGTTATGGTAAATGGACCAAATTTGTACAGGTAAGAGACTGGCATACGTTTACAAAGGTATAAAATGCAGTTTCTCAAAAAGCAGAAAAATATGCATTATGATGCACAAAAATAGAGACAGGTACAGCTTCCCAATGAAGAACACAGTAAAACAATACTCTGATTATCCTACAAGGATGGCAAATAAGCAGGTCTCAAATCAGGTGCACCATTTCCGATTTCGATAAGGGGCCAAGTTTTTCAACAGGGTTTTAAACAACCTCTCTTCATTTATTCAAGATTGCCTGCAATGCTTTTAATAAATATTTATTGTGGGAGTTATATTCCTCATAATAAAACTGTAGTAATGTTACCAACATGGAAATGAGTGCCCGTTTTTGGAAGTAAAGGAATCCATGCTTTTCACTTAGTTACCTAGGACACAGGCTAATTCCAACAACAACAAACTGACCTGATAGGTGCTTATCGGGAATAATGACATACAATCAGAAATATGGGTTGGAGGTGGTTATATTACCATATATGAACTATCCCTACTTTCCAAATCACAGTCAAGAGGCAACAAACACATACCTGATTTTGGAATTACAGGTCATTTCATTCTCAGGATAGTGAATATCAACTGCATCCTGGATGACTGTGCCATATTCATAGACTTTAATCTTCTTTGTCACCCCAGCAATAGCAAAATAGTCACAGTCTCGATCAAACTCAATACTAAGAAACAAAAATGCAACCAGAAAGAAAAGCGTAAGACACAAACCAAACAAAGCATATTTCTAGCTTATTATTATTATTTTATTTAAATTTATCAGAACAATAAAAAACTTTCAACATTGGCATCATTTAAAAAGACAACAAACCTTATATCTCCTATGTTCCTCTCACCTATACCATTAACTATACCATTAACTAGCAAACCCCTCCCTAAATGTAAATACACTTAATTAAAAATGTTGAAGGACGTTTAACCAATGGAGAAATAAACAAGAAGATGCCATGAGTAAAAAAAATAATGGGGGGGGGGAGAATGGTGTAGGAAAAGGCAATGTTGTTCTGACTTTGTCAACTCTTCAGCATTATATAAAATGACACCATAGCAGGCCCACAGTGGTTGCTGGAGAATATCTGGCACTGACCTGACCAGGTTAAGCCATGCCTTCATCTAGCCAGTGACTCTTTCTGAAATGCTGACTTCTCCCACTGTGTGTGGTTCCGCAATAGTTTTCCTGCAGCTGGAGAGCTTTATGCAGATGCTCCAGTGTCCACCCCCCCCCCAGTTTTTTTTCAATTCCTTTTTACCTTCCACATTAACAAATACCCAAATGTCAAAGCTGACAGCTCACACTGTGAAAGTACAGGGGAGGATTTGACCTGTGGTGTTTGAATAAATATGCTGCAGGGCAGCTGTCAATGGATTTCTTTTACAATTAAGAGTCCAAGTACACCTCCTCACCCCCCCCCCACTCCCCATACAGAGAATGCCACTTTTAAGCTGGAAGAGCTAAATGTTAATATAGGGAAAGAAAAAAAGGAGCAACTTGGGTAGATTCTACACTTTAGCCAGAGAGGTAAAATCAATTGCACCAAAACTTCAACACACAACATCCAAACCTGCAAGTGCTTTTCAAAAAGCAAGACCTTCTTAAAATAGTTGTATTTTGTGTAGCATGAAGGCCAAATAGGATATTTCCATAAACACATGCCTCTCAATAAGGACATATTCTACATCTAGTTTCCCCCTTTCCCCTTTGTAATATCTCTTAGGACTTGTCTAACGTTCTGATAACGACATCCCACATTGTCCTGCTCCATGCTATTGGCAGTCAGGAACGAGGAGCAGGTAACACTGGAGTGTTTTGATTTCATGACATGAGACAAGTTATGGAAGGGAAGAGGAAAACTCTACAAAGTGAAGCTTTTTTCCTTGGGGGCAGTTGTGAGTTTATTGTAATGTCTATTTGGCTACAGTTAATGCACAGAATAGCACTGTAGCTTTATTTGGTGGGGGTGTGCGATAGGGGAGGGATAGTACCTCTGATGGAGGGCGTGTCATGCTCCTTCTGGGGTACTTTGCCCATCTTTGGTCCCCACCCTGCACTCAGCTCTCACCTGTGGCTCTTAGAAGCTGTCAGCATGTGACAGCGGCCACACCCCGGGAAACAGCTTTGACTGGCTGGCTGAACCAGGTGAGGAGAGCCAATGGGTCTCAAATCCTTACTGAGTCAGGGACTTCCCCTGCATGCGAAAACAGGCTCCGGCAGATTGAGTGGATGAGACAACATATTGAACCTCTGCAAACATACGGGTCTTTCATGGTCATTCTCCATCGTGAGTTGAGAAAGCATCCTTGTGGCTACACAATGTTCCACTGAACCAAATTACTCGGCCACACCTCTGAAGTGGGAAAAATAGCCATCCAGTCTTGGTTACTTAGCTACAAGCCTGGGGTGCCAATCGCAAGAGAAACACTTGTTCTCCAAGTTCTGATCTTGAAGATGAATGGTGCCATTTGTGAGGTACAGATTAATGCCTCAGAGAAATAACAATGATTACAGTTCAATGCTGATCAGGGAAAAATTAAAGGGGAGAGAGGTATGCTTTCAGGATTAATTTGTAGAAGCTTCCTAGCAGAATTGCATTTTGCAGTGCACTTGATCGCCTCGCAGTGTTTTTCCTTGTCAACTTACTCTGAAAGGGTTTTACAACCAGGAGCCTATTCTACCACAATGGATTTATTTGTACCACAATCTTAATTGAACTGCTGTGTCAGCTACTGTTTCTTGCCCTGTGGATTGTGCTATGGCATAACTAAACTGATGTCAGCTATTCATCTACTTGGCTTCAATTTATACCCTCAGCCTTCTGCTGCTGAAAGAGAAATATTACCATGTCTGGTAAAAGTCCATGTTATTAGAACTGAAAATCCTCTCTTACCTGAGGAGATTTTGTTACTGTTAGACATGTAAGCTTTGAATAGTTATATTCCATGCTCTGTATTTTCACTCCCTAAGAAGATATAACTTGTCAATACGAAAATTAGCATTTAATGATGTGCCCGCAAAACTTAATGGGCTATCTAAAATTATTTCTAAGAATATAAATAGTGTGCATATTAACCAATGACACAGTTTGCTTGAAGGTCAGAGGCCTGAGAGTCAGAGACATTGCAGGGGTAAAATCAACAAAGAGATAAAGAACTGCCTTGCCAATATTCATCTGCTGAGTAGAAGAGAAGAAAAACCTTTAGTATGCACACGGTAGCTTATTTTAAAACGGAGGAGCTACTCAAAGTCCCAGTTATTCTGCCTCTATATATAAATAGAAGAGAATTAAAGGTAGCAGTTAGGTCCATTCACAACTGCATAATGTCCTGAAGGAAACTCTACCTGAACAACCTGTTTTGCATAAAACAATACATTGGAGAAAGCATGAGCCAAAGAGACATATTGTGGGCTGCCTCAGACATAAGAACCCTTGACATGCCAGCTTCAGCCCTTGCACAGCTTCAGAGATCAAGGACTGCTTGCTGACCGGTGCCGCAAACAGTTGGCACATGATGCACTGCCACTTAAACAGTTACAGTTATCTTGGTGGTTCTGCAACCGTCAGGATATGTGATGTGTAGGTATGTGGCAATTCTATGAGGACAAAAAAGCACAGAACTTGATACTAAACCTAACAGGCAGTATTCTGAGAATCTCACCAGCCTTTATTTTTTTTAACCTTGTTTAGTCCTTACCACTGCAGAGACAGAGAGGATGTAGACAATATATGCTGAAGTAACAGAAATGGCAAAATAATAGTTTTGTTGGTTAGGAATGAGTCTTCTGCCCCTCCCTAAATTACTAGGACCAGAACAAGTTATGAATAAAGGGGAAAAACTGAAGAGCAAATGCAAAGTTAGCAACTGGGCAAGCTTGATAAATCTGCATCATTTATATGGGGCACAGAGTTTTAAATCTTCCTGGTGGAAAATTGGATTGCCTGGGAACTTTTTTTTAAAAAGAACACAGCACTGTGGTACTTACAGTCCAAAAAGTAAGTTTGTTTTGCAAATTAGCAAGCCAAAGTTCATGCATTATACAAGGACCATATTGTTTCTTGGAGATGAAAAAGATGCCCTCCTCCAAATGAACATCTGCAGTATCTTGATATATACTTTTAAATAGGCTACAAATTAAGATTAAATGTTTAAAAAATCATTTAATTATCTGCAGATGGAGATTTCTTTGAAGCTTTAACAGCTTTAATGGGAGATGGCATCTCCTAAATATCAGGGGCTAAAAATTATCAGCTAAAGCTAAATAAAAGAGGTCCCACTGGAGGCTTAGTGGCTTACATTTATTAACTTCCTGAATTCAAAGTATGCAAATTTTATCCCTAAAAATTAAAAATCTCTCAAGCATACACAATAAAGTTATTTTTTAATTCATCATAGAACCATTATAAGCAATGCCAGGGAAATCCATAATGAGACTATTGTTTTGACAATCAAGATGCAAAATACCAGAAAACAATTCAAAAAGACATTACAAACACTCTTAAGAATTGCCAAGCCAGTTCTGTTAATTTTATGTTATACTCTGAAGTGTGAGCATGCTTTAGGGCCATTGTATTTTCTAGATAATACTCTGGAATGGAGGTGAGGTATAGTCCTACCAACTGAAGCCTACATAAATGGCCAGGTCCCATAAGTTGGCACCATCTAGAAGCAAGGGCTTCACAATGAACTACCGCTGAACACAGCACTGTACATAACTGCCAGCATCTACATACTAACAGAAAACTCATTCTCTGAGCATGAACCATTTTGTCATCAAAGCAGTACCATTCACACCTAAGCACTGGCAAGCCTGGGTGAACAGACCCTGTAAGCAGTGTCCACAAAATAAGCAGTGTCCACAAAATTTGGCTAACAGCTAAAGATCTGAGGTTGCCAGGATCTTGTCCCTCTTTCTCCAAACAGGTCAACACACAGTGTCTCATTTAGACCTTTATAGTCTAGGACTAGGTCAGTGTTGAGGAACATTTGACTAGGGCTGGGCAGTACCTGCTTCCCAACATTGTAATACATCACCAGCTAAATCTTGTGATATCCCAAAATATTACAATGTTGGAAAGGGGGAAAGAAGGTGGGAAAGAAGCAGGCAGTTGTCAGCCATGCAGATGATCAGCATCACCATGATCAGCTTCTGTCACTTCCTGGCAAGGCTGGGCAGGCAGCACTGCCCCAGGTGGGGCGCACCAGCCAAGGCGCCACATGGCATAACACTGTGGAGCCATGAGGCACCGCTAGCCTCCCAGGAGCCAGCAGTTGTGGCTTGCCCTGGCAATAGCCTTTCACTGTGCAAATGGCAGCTACCAGGAGCCACCCTCCAGAGCATCACGCAAGGCACAGGAGGCGGCTCCGTTCCGCTCAGCGCTTGGTGCGAGGAAGGGAGCAGCCCACTGACACTCACGTGGCCAGGGAAAGAAATGAAGGTGCTGCAAGACTCCTGAGGCCGGCGGCTGGCCTGTGGAGGGAGCGAGTGGGCAAACATCAGGTGGCCTGGCTGGGGTCTCTGGATTAAAGCATGCAGTGCTGGCTGCAGCCAGGGGCGAGCAGGGATTCACAATACATTGCCTGCTCTGAAATTCTGAAATTACTCTCGCGATTTTAACCTTAAACTGGTTTTAGGCAATGTATTGATACATCGTCCAGGCCTACCTGTGAC